GGACAGTTTATTCCCTGATTGGAAGTTAAAGTAAATTCTGTAAGACCATATGATATTGAAGCAGAATTAGACCATTCAGCCCATCAAGTCTGCTCCTCCATTCGATCTAGGCTGATATGTTTTTCAGCCTCATTCTCCTGCCTTCTTCCTGTAACCCACAGTCCTCTTACAAATCAAGGACCTATCTATCACTGTCTTAAATATACTCAATGACTTGACCTCTACAGCCCTCTGCGGCAGTGAGTTTCAAAGATTAACCATCCTCTGACTGAAGAAATTTCTCTTCATCTCAGTTCTAAAGAGTCATTTGTTCACGCTGAGACTGTGCTCCCGGGGCCTAGTCTCTACTACTCATGGAGACGGTCTATCTAGATCTCTCAGTATTCTGTTTCAATGAGATACCCCCTCATTCTTTTAAGCTCCATTGAGTACAGACCCAGAATCCTCAACTGCTCCTCATATGATGAGCCCTTCATCCCCGGAATCATTATTGGAAACATGTTCTGGGCCCCCTGTAAGGCCAGCGCATCTTTCCTTAGGCCCGGCAACCAAACCTGTGGTCTGCAGTGCGTTATACTGTCTCAGCAGTACATCCTGCTGTTACATTCTAGCCCTCTTGAAATGAATGTTAACGTTGCATTTTCCTTTCTAACTGCTTTGTTAACCTTAAGAGAGTCCTGAACCAGAACATGCAAGTCCCTTTATGCTTCAGATTTCCCAAGCTTTTCCCCATTTAGAATATATTCTACATCTCTATTCTTCTACCAAAATGCAAAACCTCACACTTTGCTGTCTTGTGTTCCATCTGCACTTCTTTGCCCAATCTCCTAGCCTGTCCAAGTGCTTCTGCAGTCTCTCCACCTCAACACCACCTATCCCTCCAGCTATCTTTGTGTCATCTGCAAACTTAACCAGAATGCTGTCAGTTCCTTCTTCCAGGTCATTAATGTACAACGTGAAAAGTTGTGGTCCCAACATTAGAACCCCGCTAGTTACCAGCTGCCATCCTGAAAAAGATCCCTATGCCCCCCCTCTCTGCCATCTGTCAGCCAGCCAGCCAATCCTCTCTCCATGCCCAACACAATGTGCTCTTAGCTTATCTAACAGCCTCAGTGCAGCACCTTGTCAAAGGCCTTCTTGAAATCCAAACAGAGCACATCCATTGGCTCTCCTTTGTTTAACTTGCTTGTTACTTTGTCAAAGAATTCCAGCAGATTTGTCAGGCATGACCTTTCCTTTTTCAAAGCTGTGCTGACTCTGCCCTTTTACTGTGCATTTCCAAGTACTCCACAATCTTATCCTTAATGACATGCTCTAAAATCTTACCAATGATTGAGGCCAGGCTAACCAGCCTATAATTTTTCATCTTCTGTCTCCCTCCTTTCGTAAACAATCCTTTGCGACCCCCCCTGACTCCAGTGATTCCCGAAAGATCACCACCAGTGCTTCCACAGACTCATCAGCTCTCTGATGTATCTGTTCTGTTCTCTGATTGTGTGCCATCTCATCCTGGAAGAGACAGGCATAGTGTCAAGCTGGCAGCATTGGTAAGTGTGTGAGGGTGAGGTGGAGTACCAGGGTGTTAGGGATGGGTCCTAATGGCCAGGGATTGTGTGAGAAGATAGAGTGCAAATACTTTGAACCTGAACAGTCCAAAATCTCTGTTGGTCAAAATTCTTAAAGGTGTTATTGAAAGATTCTCATCTAAGGCGCACAAGTCATAAGATGTCAAGCTGTTCAGATTGTCTTAAAATATTTTTTAAAAATACTGCTGGAAAGCGACATATATTGCCAAGGGATAACAAGGTGTAGAGGTGGATGAACACAGCAGGCCAAGCAGCATCAGAGGAGCAGGAAGGCTGACGTTTCGGGCCTAGACCCTTCTTCAGAAATGCTGAAATTTTGTTGCCAAGGATTTTGACCTGACAGCTATGAGGATAGACTCAAGAATCAAATAATCATGACAATTTATACTACAGGGTAAAAACAGTGCTCATTTGTTGGCAGAGGCATGCAATGGGGAAAGTAATGGCTCCCTGTGAAGTCCGATCATTCAAAAAATGTGAGAGGCTTTTGTTTACAACAAAGTGGTCCCTGCTGTATCATTTCTGATAAGTTTATGTGAGCCACTTTGTCTTAAATTGATTGTTATCGATTGGTTTATCTGTTCCTGGAAGCAATAAGTAAAGTATTGACTGAACTAAGTTTGAAAACATGCCCACAAACTTCTCTCTAATTCAGTTGCTAATTTCCTACATTCTAGCTGCAGGAGATTTGTGTTTTTAAACCATGTCTCATAACCTAAATACAACCTAGAAGTTGAATGAGGGTACATCTTGCAGACTGTGTATGTTACGTATAAAAAAATTAATCTTTGAATGCAACTTTTCTGTAAGTTTTCAGTCTTTTGTTCTGTTTCACTGTTACAAGATACCGTACAATTCTGTCCAAGTGATTTATCCAGTTTTCATTTGCAACACAAATGTGTGGAAGAATTGTGAGGCCTAAAGGCTAACCTAGACATACAGATCTGCAAACTTGACAAAGGAGAAGATTAGTCATCCTTAATTAGTGTCATTATATCAACTAAAATACATACCAGAATGATAGGTCCAAATTCATATCCATTGGATCTAACGCTTTGCATGATTGGGACCTTGCTTGAAAGCAAGCTTAAAAAAAAATCACTTGATGCACTTGAGTAAGAGCACATAGCTGCTGGGTGATATATGTACATGATAGGGTTCATCCTGATGACTCATTGTTTCTAAACATGCATGGTCTGCCCAAGACACACTATTGTGATGTTCCTTTATGTCCTTTCATGTCTCTGATCACTTCTGCAGAACATGAATTGGCCAAACATTGGGTGATTTGCTGTAATCAGTTTTGAATGGTTTTCTACATAGTGAGGGATCCTTCTCGTTTGCTAAGACTTATATATTGATAGCTAAGCCCTGTCCATGTGTTTATTTGGCATTGCTAGCCTATTCACCAGTACACCACTCAAGGAAGCAATAGACTTTTTAATCATTCGTGGGATATGGACTTTGGCCGGGCACCATTTATTGCCCTCCCTGGTTACTATTGAGAAAGTGGTGGTGACCTGCCTTTTTGAACTTAATGTACCTATACCCACAAGGCTGTTAGGGAGGGAGTTCCATGATTTTGATCCAGTGGCAGTGAAGGAATGGTGATGTATTTCCAAGTCAGGATGGCGAGTGACTTGGAGGGGAACTTGCAGATAGTAGAATTCCCATGTATCTGCTGTTCATGTCCTTCTAGATGATCGTAGTAGTGGGTTTGGAAGGTCCTGTTCTCTAAGAGTCATAGAGAATTTCTGCAGTGCATCTTGTAAGTAATACACACTGTTGGGACTGAGCATTGGTGGTGGAGGGGTTGAATGTTTGTGCATGTGGTATCATTCAAGTTGGCTGCCACTTCCTGGGTGGCATCGCACTTCCTCAGTATTGTTGGAGCTGCATCCTTCCAGGCAAGTGGGGGATTATTCATCATACATTTGACTTATAGGTGGGGTGTCAGGGTGTGAGTTACTCGATGCAGGATTCCTAGCCTCCGACCTACTGTTGTAGCCATAGTATTTGCGTGGCTAGTCCAGGTTAGCTTCTGGCTAATGGTAACCCCAGAATCTTGATCGTGAGATTCAGTGATGCAATTGAATGTCAAGGGCACTCATTACATTCTCTCTTGCAGATGGTCCTTGACATGAGTGTTATTTACCACTTGTGAGCTCAAACCAAGATATTGTTTAGGTCTTGCTATGTTTACACTATGTCTCTAAATCATGGCAATCCCCAGCTACCACAATTGTGTGAATCAGTATATACTGATTTTATAAACTCAGCAACTCTCATAGTTGAGTTCAGTTTTAATGACACCATGTATGTACAAATATATGCTGTTGCCATGGGGTCTACTGTATGGTGAGATGTTGCAAATACCTTTATTAGGTTCCATGAAAAATGTGCATATCACACAACTTATAAGTGGGCCTAAGGCTACCACGTTCAATCCTGAAAAGTCTATCTCATATTAAGGTATCTCAAAAACGGAGCCATAGGTGAAGCTAGCTGTTCCATGCTGGTAGCATGCAGTGGCAACGAGTGGAGTTCGTCACTAACAGGATGCTGCCATTATACTAAAAAGATGTTCTGCTTATCTCACAAATGAGTAATATGATATGTGACTTTTAGGGTACAATGTGATTCAAGGTCTGTAGGCCATCTGTTCTAAAGACTTGTAGATTGTTTTAAACAGCAAAGCCCCTCATCTGTTCACAACAGAAAAGGCACTGACTATACAACCAGTACATGCTTGTAAAACTCAATGGTGTCCACTATTAGATGTGATTGTCCATTTGCACAATGTTTGCTAAATAATGCATACATTAAGAATTATGACAATCTTGAATTGGTTATAAGCATTTAGGATTACAGCATGGCACACTTGCAATCAGTTGAAGCTACATATGTTAGGTCAGTACTAAAGATGTACATACCTTGTACCTGTTTCAATTTAAGAAAATATGCACAACTGCACTCTGATTCATTCCCTAAGACAATGTCTTTATCAATCGGAATCAACTTGCTTGGTTTAAATTGAAACAAGCCTAGCAGTTAACTTTCACTTATCATCCACCTGGTACATTCTCTACTGCAATGCCTCTTCTAATCAGGATCAGTTTTCAACCAGTCAGTGGTCTTTCTCATATAGTTTAAAGTATTATTCCCCATCACAATGGTATTTTTGTCCTACTAGATGAGAAGCTTCGACAAATGTGTCTTTTTTCAACAATACTCGATATCAGTGCTGCCAAATGTCTACAATACACTTTTTTAAAAAAAAGAACTGAATAACTATAACTAAAAATTTATTTGAAATAAAAGCTGCTGTTCCCTAATCAGGAAACAACTTCACTGTGTTTTGAATTGTTTAGTTATTATTGGATGTAAATTTATCTTTTTATCTTTTATTTCCAGTGCCAATATTGTGACAAAACTTTTATGAACAGTTTCTATATGCAAAGTCACATTCAGCGTCGGCACCCAAATAATACTGATGTTGGTGAGTGTTGATCATCTCAGTATAATCCAGTTTAACTGATCTTCCATTTCCAAATTAAATGTGAATATAAAAATCACATGTCCAGAGATTGCGACCATACTAAGGACTGGATTTTATGCAAACTGCTGGCATATTTGAAGATGATTGCTCAGACAATGCAGCAGACGGCCTTCCCACTGTCTTCCCATCCAACCTAGGCCTTCTGTCATTTTATAGGGATAGGGAAGACATTGGGCAGTGCACCCCCAAAACCTTTGGGCCTATTGAGGGCCTTACATTGCCAATTGATGACCTCTGATTTCTCAATGATTCATTAGTTAGTGAATTTTGTTAAGGTTCTGAAAGTTAAACCTCATCCGTGCAACCTTCAGTTTAATAAAGATCACTTGGTCCTTTTATTTGTTCTGTTTGCAGATTTTTTTAAGACATAGTTTTCAATTCATTTCATATCTATATGTATACTAAAATACAAGTACTTCATATGATTTAATAACTAGCAAAAAGCCATTGTAAATGTGGTAGTATTGTTACTTCAATATTTAATGCATCTGATAAATTGTGGACAGTTCTGGTCTTCTGATCTGAGGAATTGTATTTAGTACTTGCCTTGGAGGTAGTATAGCAGAGTTTTAGTAGATTGGTTCTTGGGTTGAGAGGAGTGCACTATGATGAGAGATTGATCTGTTAGAACAAGAACAAAGAAAATTGTAGCACAGGAACAGGCCCTTCGGCCCTCCGAGCCTACACCGAGATGCTGCTTATCACAACCAAAACCCCCTACCCTTTTGGGGACTGTATCCCTTTATTCCTAATCTATTCATGTATTTGTCAAGACCCCCTTTAAAAGTTGCTATCGTATCTGCTTCCACTACCTTCCCCGGCAGCGAGTTCCAGGCACCCACCACCCTCTGTGTAAAAAACTTGCCTCGTACATCACCTTTAAACCTTGCCCCACCACACCTTCAACCTATGCCCCCAAGTAACTGACTCTTCCACCCTAGGAAAAAGCTTCTGACTGTCCACTCTGTTCATGCCCTTCATAATCTTGAAGACCTCTATCAGGTCACCCCGCAACCTCTGTTGTTCCAGTGAGAACAATCCAAGTTTCTCCAACCTCTCCTCATAGCCAATGCCCTCCATACGAGGCAACATCCTGGTAAATCTTTTCTATACCCTCTCCAAAGCCACCACATCCTTCTGGTAGTGTGGCAACCAGAAATGAACACAGTATTCCCAATGCAGCCTAATTAAGGTTCTATAAAGCTGCAACACTGCCTGCCAATTTTTAAACTCAACGCCCTGACCGATGAAGGCAAGCATGCAATATGCCTTGTTGATGACGTTCTCCTGTTGTTACAATTCCTGTGGAAATCAACACATTTTAAAAATAAATTTTAACCTCCAGTGAATAATTGAAAAGATCACAACAATATTTCAAGATTTAAAACATTTCCTGTTAGAAACAAACTAAAAACACTGACTAAACACCATTTCAGAAGGCAAATCATACTGTAAATTACAGTTTCCCCATTCAACTTATAGAATGACTGAAAATCCCATGACACAGTTATACTTTCTTCTTCCACTGAAGTGCACATTACATTCTCTAGGAACATGTACAAAGCCATTCCCAACACTTATTGTCTTTACCCCTAGTGGATTCACATAGACATGGGGAGACTGTGCAAACTGCACACGGACAGTCATCCAAGGCTGGATTCGAACCTGGGTCCCTGGCAGTGTGAGGCAGCTGTGCTACTGTGCTGCCCAGCTCCCACCTGAATCTTGCATGATGAGCAATAAAATGTTGCTGCCTCTATCTCGCTTTTCTTGCTCATATTTTTGCATACTGATCCTATCCATGAGTTTCACTGATATTGAGGAAACCCTGTAGCTTGCTTCTTATAATAAATTCCTATGGACCCTTACCCTATTAAAGTCCATTTTCGTGGCAAAGTGAATACATATAATCATGCTAAGTAGACATTTTCTAGACCCTCAACTGTATTCTAGTGCGGAATTAAAGAAATATTTTAGCTTGTAAACTTTGATATTCCTTACACCTCTCTGTGACTTGTGGACTAAGGCCTCGTTTTCACTGCTGAAGTGGGAAATTTCACAAGATTCCACTTGGTAGAAAGAGCCCTGACTTTAGTCTCTCATACCTGAACACCCCCACCTTCCGACTCCTATTGTCAACTCCATTCGCCCTTGCTAAATCATTTAAATGCAATCCTCCAACCACCCCATGACCACATCACTCCATGTCAACTCACTGCCTACTTATGACCCTATGCCCACCCTATGCCCACCCTCGTGGCTGTTTATAACCCCAATGTCACCTCAAGGTCAACACATACCAACCCATGTCTATGACTCCTTATAATCTCCATACTGACATCGGTTGGTATGTGTTGCCACGAGCCAGCATCCCAACCACCACCTTTGAACCTTACTCTTCTATGCTACCTCACTCAGTATCTACTATGGGTTTATCTTAGGAGCTATGTTGCTGTGAAATAAAATAAAATTTTAAAAATAGCTTTATTATAAAAGAAAGCTACCATTCATGAAAGCCCATTCAATCCTCTTAATTTTCTTCAAATGGTTTATCTCTTATAAAAGGCGAATAAACCTCTACTCATAGCCTCACATCAAAGACAGCAAATTCTTTAACACATGAACGTAGGAGTCAGGAGCAGGTGAAGGCCATTTAGCTCCTCTAACCTGCTCCAGCATTCAATACGATCATGGCTGATCTGATTATAACCTCAACTCCTTATTCCCACTTACACTGATAATCTTTTATATCCTTCCTCCCAAGAATCTATCTACCCCTCCTTAAAAATATTCAATGACACCTCTTCCTCTACCTTTTGAGGAAAGGGACTGCAGACTCCCTCTGATCTGTCTTTGTCTTAATTGGACAAACCCTTATTTTTTAAGTGGTGACCCTTGGTACTTAATTCTGTCATAAGTGGAAACATCCTCTCCAAATCAACCCTGTGAAGACCCCTTAAGATCTTATGTTGCAATCAGGTCATCTCTTACTCTTCTAAATCCCAGAGGATGTGATCCTCGACTTTCCAACTTTTCCTCGTAAGACCCTCATAAGAAAACCCCAAGCCATTCTATAAATATATTAATAGCAAGAGGAATACCAGGGAAAGAGTTGGGCCTTTTGGAGATCGAGGGGCAGTCTGTGCAGGAGCCAGAGGACATGGGTGAGGTCTTAAATTAATATTGAAGGCGGCATAGTGGCTCAGTAGTTAACATTGCTGCCTCACAGTGCTAGGGACCTGGATTTGATTCCACCCTCGGGCAACTGTGTGGGTGGAGTTTACACATTCTCCCTGTGTCTGCGTGGGTTTCCACTGGGTGCTCTGGTTTCCACCCACAGTCCAAAGATATGCAGTTTCGGTGGATTGACCATGCTAAATTGCCTGTTGTGTCTAGGGGTGTGTAAGTTAGGTGGATTAGACATGGGAAATGCAGAGTTATAGGGAAAGAGTAGGGGGATTGGTCTGGGTGGGATGCTGTTTGGAGGGGCAGTGTGGACTTGTTGGGTTGAATGGCCTGTTTCCATATTGTAGGGATCCTATAGAGTCATAGAGTCATACAGTATGGAGACAGGCCCTTTGGCCCAAACTGGCCCATGCCGACCAAAACACCCATCCACGCTAAGCCCATTTCCCTGCACTTGACCCATATCTTTCTAAACCTTTCCTAACCATGTATTTGTCCAAATGCCTTTTAAATGTTGTTGATGTACCTGCCTTAACCACTTCCGATAGTTCTCATGTATTCTTGCCCCCTTACCTTAAACTGATGCCCTCTCGTCCTTGATTCCCCAACCCAGCGAAAAAGACTGAGTGCATTCACGCTATCCATGCCTCTCATGATCTTATACACTTGTATAAGATCCCCCCACCTTAGTCTCCTACGCTGTAAAGAAAAAAAGTCCTAGCTTGTCCAACCTCTCCCTATAACTCAGTCCCTTGAGAGCTGGCAACATCCTTGTAAATGTTATCTGCACTCTTTCCAGTTTAATAACATCCTTCCTATAGCAAGGTGACCAAAACTGAATGCAATTCTCCAAGTGCAGTCTCACCAATGTCATGTACAATTGCATCATAGCTTTCCAACTTCTACACTCAATACCCCGACTGATGAAGGCCAGTGTGCCAAAAGCCTTCACTGCCCTGTCTACCTGTGACTCCACTTCTAGAGAACCATGCACCTGAACTTCAAGGTCCCTCTGTTCCACTACACTCCTTAAGGCCCTACCATTCCCCATGAAACTCTTACCTGGATTTGACTTCCAAAATGCAACACCTCTCACTTATCTATATTAAACTCCATTTGCCATTTCTTGGCTCACTTCCCCAGCTGATCAAGATCCTGCTGCAATTTCTGATAACCTTCCTCACTGTCCATGATACCGCCAATTTTAGTGTCATCCGCAAACTTACCAATGATGACTTTTATATTCTCATCCAAATCATTGATATAGAAAACAAATAGCAATGGGCCCAGCACTGACCCCTGAGGCACACCACTAGTCACAGGCCTCCAGTCAGACAAGCATCCTTCCACTGTTACTCTCTGCTTCCTATCATCAAGCCAACAGTGTATCCAATTTGCCAGCTCTCCTTGGATTCTATGCAATTTAACCTTCCAGAGCAGCCTACCATGCGGAACCTTATCAAAAGCCTTACTGAAATCCATATACACTACGTCTACTGCCTTGCCCTCATCAACCTTCCTGGTCACTTCATCAAAAAACTCAAACAAATTTGTGAGGCATGATCTCCCATGCACAAAGCCATGCTGACTACTCCTAATCAAGCCCCATCTTTCTAGATATATATGTATATCTTATCCCTCAAAAATCTCCTCAAGTAACTTACCTACCACAGATGTTAAGCTTACTGGCCTGTAGTTCCCGGGTTTTTCTTTGCAACCCTTCTTGAGTAAGGGCACAACATTCGCTACCCTCCAGTCTTTTGGGACGTCACCTGTGGCTCACAACAATGCAAATATATCAGCCAGGGCTCCTGCAATTTCTTCTGTTGCCTTTTGCAGGGTTCTTGGATATATCTGGTCGGGACCAGGAGATTTATCCACCTTTTTACATTCTAATACTTCCAACACCTCCTGTACTGTGATATGGTACAGTCCCCAAGACATCGCCACTGACTTCCCCAAGTTCCCAAGTCTTCATGTCTTTCTCCATGGTAAACACAGAGGAGATGCATTTATTTAAGGCCTTGCCCACCTTTTGCGGTTCCACACATACATATGCACTTTGGCCCTTAAGGGGTTCTATTCTCTCTCTCTCATTATTCTTTTACCCTTAACGTACTTAAAGAATCTCTTTGGATTCACCCTCAGCCAAAGCTATCTCATGCCCCGTTTTTGCCCTTCTGATTTCCTTCTTCAGTAAACTCCTGTATCCCCTATATTCCTCCAGGGATTCCCTTGATCCCAGCTGACTGCTCCTGAGCCATGCCTCCTTTTTTCTGGTTTATGATCTATGATTCTATGATTTCTCATCTGTATTCACAAAGGAGAAAGACATTGAAATCTCCTGCTACAGTTGTGATGGTGAGATTCTAGAGCATGTAAAGAATTATAAGGAAAAGGTATTAAGTGTTTTAACAGGCATATAAGTACATAAATCCTCTGAGCCTGATGAAGTGTATCCCAGGCTGCAATGGGATGCTAGAGAGGAGATTGCTGGGGCTCTGGCAGAGATACTTAATACTTTGCTGATCACAGGTGAAGTGCCAGATGACTGGAGGATCACTAATGTGGCTCTTTTGTTCAAGAGGGGCAGTACGTTAGGTCAGGTAATTATGGACCAGTTAGCCTGACGTTAGTGGTAGGGAAATTATTGAAAAAACTTCTGAGGGGCTGGATGAATCAAACTTCAAAAGGCAGGGGATTGATCATGGATAATCAGCATGGATTTGTTGGAGGGAGATCCTGACTGATTAATTGAGTTATTTGGAAAGGTAATTAGATATATTGATGTGTATAGTGCAGTGGATGTTGTTTACGTGGACTTAGTAAGGCCTTTGACAAGATCCCATGTGGAGCTCTGGCCCATGGGCTCCAAGGCAAGTTGGCAAACTGGATCTAAACTTGGCTTATACATAAGCAGCAAAGGGTGATGGTGATTGGATGTTATTGTGATTGGAAGCCTGTGACCAGCAATGTAGCACACGGATTGATGCTGAGACTCATGCTGTTTTGTTATGTACATTAATGAGACTCGGATGTGAATGTATAAGACATGACTTTATGATTCTGACTCTGTAATGTCTCTCCATTTAGTAAAAGGCTTTTTATTTTTTCCTGCCAAAATAGGCAATTTCACATTTTCCCACGTAATAGTTCATTTGCAAAATCTTTACACACTCATTTCACTTAACTATATCCTTTGTAGCCTTCCTATGATTTCTTTACACACTGGTTTCCTAGCTGTCTCTGTATCATCAGCAAATTAGCAACCACACCTTTTGTCCCTTCATCTGAACCATTTGTGTACATTGTAAAAGATTGAGGTTGCGGCAGTGATTCCTGAAGCACATCACTTGTTGCATCTTGTCAAGCAGAAAATGATCCATTTATGCCTGCTGTCTGTTTTCTGTTAGCTAGTCAATATTGTAATTATGCCAATATGATACATGTACACCATGACCTTGTATTTTCCATGATCACCTTTGATATGTTGCTTTTTGAAATGCCTTCTAGAAATTTAAATGTATCCACCTGTCCCCTTATACACAGCATGTTAGTTTTTCAAAGTTCTCCAATGCAGTGGTTAAAAATGATTTTCCTTTTACAAGACAGTGTTGGATCTGCTTGAATGCCTTGAATTTTCTAAGTGACCTGCTATCATATTTTTAATAAGAACTTTTAATATTTTCCTCACAACAGCTGTTAAGCTGAATGGTCTGAAGCTTTCTTATTTCCGTCTCATTCATTTTTGAATAAAGGAGTTGATTCACTATTTTCCAATCTAATGGGAACTTTCTGAATCTAGGAAATTTTGGAAAATTCAATGCATTTTCACAAGCCATTTCTTTTGAGACCCTAGGATGAAGTACATCAGTATCCAAGGACTTGTCAGCCTGCATTCTCTGTGGTACAGTATCTCTGGTATTTGTAATTTTTCTGTGTTCCTTCCTTCCTTTCATTTCCTGATTTACGGCTATTTTCAGGATGTTATTTACTTGCTGTACAGTGAAGACCAATGCATTGTACCTGTTCGTCCATTATTAATTCCCCAGACTCGCTTTGTTTAGAATGGACAGTCACTTTTTTAAAATCCAATTTTCTGACTTACATCTGTTCTTTATATGCAATTATATATTTTTTTTAAGTCTTCTTGTTGACCACAGATGGTGGGTCTGTTCCTTGTGAATTTTATTTCTTGTGAAATCTATCTACTCTGAATTCTGAAATCTCCCCTTAAATGTCTGCCAATGCATTACTGTTGACCAGTTTCTGAATCTAATTTTTTCGTTCACTTCAGCTAGCTCTATTTTCATGATGAATGAAAATTATAACTGCCCTTATTTAAGTTTTAAATGCTAGTCTTAGACTTACTTTTCGGTCGTTCAAACTGAATGTACCCGTCTGCTCCACAAATCTATGACTCCCAGATTATGGCTTAAAGCCTCAGCAACAGCCCTAACAGAGTATATTTGAACTCAACAGTGAGCTCTGTCAAAAGTTTACAGGTCTTAATATTTTTAACCTTCTTTTGCAGTAAAACATTCCCTTTAACCTTTAACAACCAAGCCACCCAGGCTTGTTCTTTGCAAAATTCAAAGCAAGTCAGATGATCCTGTTTATTTCTCCTTAAATTTTAATAAAAGACGCAGTCTTAAAAATATTCCATGTTATACGAATCTTATAAGTTTCATATTTGCAATGTCGCTGGCGTTTAGAAGAATGTGAGATGAGCTCATTCATTCGAGTTGGCTTGACAAGGTCAGTATTGAGAGTAGTATGACACAGACAGACAGCTAAACCAAATCAGCCCACCCAACACCAGCCTTTGTACCTCTGTATTAGCAACACAGTAAAATGAAGACTTCAAAAACCCTCAAATTTGACCCTAATTGCTCCTAACCAGACTTTTGAATGATCAATCCCAGACTTTGCAAATAATCAATTCCACACACTGGTTTGTATCTTAGAAAAAAGATCTTGCAATTTATTGATAACGTAATAACTTCAGCAGAGTAAAAAACAACAAAGTTATCTAATTGGTCGATACTTTAAAGCCAAAAACCTTTGTTTTCAGTTCCACCCACATAAAAGACAGATAAACAAACACAGTTCAAGGATAAATAAAACAAAATAACAAAACTGGCAAAACTATTTAAGTGGTTTTCATCATATGTTGTTCCATAGGCATAGATATTGGTTTGTTGGTTAATTTTCTGAAGATGTTGATCACTGCTCTTCCCTGGGGACAAATGCATCTGTAGAAGCTTTTGATCAAGAACTAACCTGCAGTTAACTTCCAGGCCTGTCCTCATGAATAAACAAAATCTCATTTAGTCTGTTTTCTTTTTGACACAAGTTATTACCCACAGTCCAAATGGCAACTTTAGATCACAGTTCCCAGTACACAGCACCAAACCAAAATTGACAAAATATCAAAATAAAAAAAAAAGAATGGGCTTGATCAAGAAACTATTTTTCCTGATTTGAGGCTGTAAGTATAATCTCAACGATGCATTCATCATTTAAGATTGAAGTAACAAGTGCTTTCTTTACTCAGAGTTTTGAATCTTTGGAATTCCTTACACTAGAAACCAGTGGATAGCCAATTGTTGAGTATATTTAAGGCTATATTAGATTTTTCTTTCAAGAAATCAGGCAGAAAATTGAATTTGAACTCAAAGATCAGTCATAACATGATTGAACGGAGAGTTGGTTCAAATATTGTATGGCTTATTCCTTCCTTCTTTTATATTCTTAAACATAGCATACTGTTTTCAAAGTTTTTTTTGGGACTGTAAAGCTGTTCTTTTATTGTGCTGAACAGATTCATTTTATTCAGAAATAAATTGTCTCTAATTTTCTGATACCTTTACTTATTTTTATTCATTGCTATGTTCTCTATGCCATGATTGTTTTTATTTATTCAGTGGAGGTGGGCTTCACAAGCTGAGCCAACATTATTGTTCGTTTCAAGTTGCCCTTGAAAAGATGGTATTTATTATCATAGATCATAGAATTCCTACAGTGTGGAAACAGGCCCTTTGACTCAACAAAGCATCCCACCCAGACCCATCCCCCTAAACTACACATTCCTGAACACTATGAGCAATTTAGCATTGCCAATCCACCTCGCCTGCATGTCTTTGGACTGTGGGAGGAAACCGAAGCACTTGGAGGAAACCCATGCAGACACAGGGAGAATGTGCAAACTCCACACAGGCAGTTGTCTGAGGGTGGAATTGAACCTGGATCCCTGGCGCTGTGAGGCAGCAGTGCTAACCGCTGAGCCACAATGCCACCCCTCATCTAATAAGGTCTTAAGGGATGCCTGACACCTAATGGAATGAAGGAACAGGTGATGGATAGATTATTTAAGGGTTAATTTGGATGATAATTGTTTGTATAAACATGGGACGCAAGTAGTGGAGTATGAATTTTATAGAGTGTTGTTAACTGAAAGAAAGCTCTTACTAAAAGTGTGATTTTGATTCTGTTCAAAACGTACATTTTCTGTTTTTTTTAAGTCGTGGTGAGTGTCCTTTTTGAGTCACTGTAATTCATTTGTTGTAGGTACACCCACAATGCCATTAGGGAGGGATTTTGACCCAGTGACAATGAAGAAAGTGATATATTTCCAAGTTGGGATGATTTGTGGCTTGGAGGGGAATTTGCAGGTGGTGGTGTTCCCATGCATCTGCTGTCCTTGTCCTCCTCGGTGGTAATTATTGTGGGTTTGGAAAATGCTGTTTAAGGAGCCTTAGTGGATTTTGGCAGTGAATCTTACAGAGGATACATCATCTGGACTTTTAGATTTCAAATGTTGATCTCAAGACTTGCCTCAAGTACTACGATTTGATATCTGCTGAAAAACCTTGCCAATTTTCTGTGGCTAGTTCATATAATTGTTATGCCAACAGAAAAGCAGAAGAAGAATGAATCTGATAAGATCCAGGATGAAATAGATCAGTTGAAAAAGCAATTACAACATATTCAGTCCCAGCTAGAAACTGAGAAGCAGCTGTATTTTAAAACACATTCTCAGGTATGGTTACTGAAATACGAGTCTTTGCACTAGGCCACCTATTTTATGTTAAAATTAATATTTAACTATTGCAAAGCAAAAATGTTTCAGTTAAAATTATTTACTAATGTGAATTTAATCTCTGTCTCCTTGCAGGAGGCAAGTTTGTATAAACCTTGTGTCCTCCTGGGGCTGTGTCTCTATTTTTGGGATGGGCTGAGTGTGCCACCCTCTTGAGAAGAGTACCTACACAGGAATTCCCTGCTTTTGCCAGAAACTGTCTGATTTGAGCACTACCTTCATGCTGCACTGCCTACCAGCTGATGTCATGCTGAACTTCCTAAACTGGACCATACAAGTCCAGTGAATGGGTGGTCCAGCAGAATAATTCCTTAAAGGGCCATGTATCTAACTTTCAAGCAAGCTGAATTTGAGCAACTTGCGCTATAGTGAAGCATTCTGGAGTATTTCTGGAAGTATTATGCTGAGTACCTGCATCTGGTTTTTCTGCATCCTTTACAGAGATGGAAGATGTGGTTGACTCTTAACTGCCCTCTGGGATTGGCAATAAATGCTGGCCTAGCTGGCGATGCCCTCATCCAATGAATGAATGAATAAGTAAACATTAGCCTGGGGTTCTAGATAACCAATCCAATGACACTACTACTATGCCACCACCTATGCTGAGTCTTAGAACCAAGGAAAATATGTTCCTGTATCTTTAGCAACAGCTTTAAAACCTTAGATCAGGATGAAATATTTGATTAATAATCCTCCTGTCTCAATGAATTTGAAACAGCACACATGTTCAGTGCTTTTATTTTGTTTCATTCTGATATAATTTCACACTTATGCTTGTTCAGACATGGCAAGAACATGCAATGGTTCTTTAAATATAGCAGTTTTCGAATTCATTTGTTCTGAAATTTGTGCTATCTTTGAAATCAACAAAATATCTTTATACATTCATTTTGCACTTTACAGACTTAACATTGCCTGATATATTTTAGGAACTTGAAAAAAGAAGAATGGAAGAAAATGAAACAACAAAAAGCTTTGAAAGATGGAAGGAGGAAGAAAAAAAGAAGCTGAATAGTGAGATGGAGAAAATGAAAGAAATGCTTGCTGAAGAGTTTAGAGAAATGACTGAAAAGAACGCTGCATTGGAAAGAGTTAAGTAAATCTGTAGCCCCATTTTGTGCACATAATAACAAATACATAAAAGGTATGACTTGTTTTCTTACTCTACTTGCATAATAACTACTTAATGAGGTTTTATGTAGCAATTAGAAACTATTTTGGTCATTATTAATCTCATTCATGTATGGGGAATTTTGCTTTCAATTAAATGATTATCACATCCTAGCAGAGCAATTCCTGTGTTTTAGCATAAATTCTTGGCCGGACACTCTGGGCACTTCAAGCCTGCCTTGCTATTCAACAAGACAATGGCTATCAGCCCTCATTTCCTCTTTTCGGTGCCAGCTATCATAACCTTCAACTCCGCAATATTTCAAAAATCTATCTACCTCCTCTTTTAAATAATGTCAGTGACCTATCCTCTACAACTGTCTGGGTATAGAATTCCAGACTTTCACTACCTTCTGAGAGAAGACATACCTTTGCATCTCAGTTTTAAATGAGAGGTGCCTAATCTGGCATTCCTCCACTAGTGGAAATCACCTCTCACTTCTGTTCTATCAAGCTTACTCAGAATCTTGTATGTTTCAATATGATCAAATCCCATTCTTCTAAACTGTAATGAATAAAGGCCTAACCTATTTGGCCTTTCTTGATCGGTCAAACCTCTCATTCCAGAATTCAGCCAAGTGAACCTCTTCTGAATTTCCTCCACTGCCATGACATATTTTCTTAAATATGAGGGGCAAAACTACGTGGCACTCCAAGTTTGGCCTCACCAACACCCTGTACAGTTGTAACAAGACTTCTGTATTTTCAGCCCCATAGCACAAAATACCAAAATTCCATTTGCCTTCATAATTACTTGCTGCACCTACATGTTAACCTTTTGTGTTTCTTGGATTTGAATACCTAGATTTCTTGATGCTCCACCTCTTTGGAGTCTCTCTCCTTTTAAATAATAGTCTGCCTTTTGATTCTTCCTACCAAAGTACATGACCTCACAGTCTCCAACATTAAAGTCTAATTGCCAAGTTTTTTGCCCACTCAAATCTATTCTGTACCTCCTTGCAGATTCATTATGTCTTTGTTGCAACATGCCCTCCCATCTAGTTTTGCATCATCTTCAAATTTGGATTCATTTCCATCTGCCCTCTCTAAGCCATTAATTCAGATTGTAAATAATTGAGCCCCTAGGACTGAACCTTATGGCACCACACTAGTTACGTCTTTACAACCTGAAAATAATTAGTATCAACTCTCTGGCTTCTGTTTGTTCTCCTCAATTAATGCTAATCAGTTACCCACAATATCGGGAACTCCTATCTTAGAATCAGAGTCATACAGCACAGAAACAGACCCTTCAGTCCAACTTGTCTGTGCAGATTAGACATCCCAATCTGACCTAGTCCCATCTGTCAGCATTTAACCCATACCCCTCAAAACCCTTCCTATTCACATACACATTCAGATGCCTTTTAAATGTTGCAATTGTACCAGCCTCCAACACTTCCTCTGGCAGCTCATTCCATACACGCACCACCCTCTGTGTGAAAAGGTTACCCCCAGGCCCTTTTTAAATTTTTCTCCATTCATCTTAAACTCATGCCTTCTAGTTTTGGACTCCCCCACCCCTACGGAAAAAGCATTCGGCTATTCATCCTGCTTTTATAAATCTCTGTAAGGTCACCCCTCGGCTTCCAACGCTGCATGAAAAATGCTGCAGCCTATTCAGCCTGTCCTTGTTACTCAAACCCTCCAGGCCCAGCAACATCCTTGTAAATCTTTTCTGCAACCTCTCAAGTTTAACATCTTTCCTAAAGAAGAGCGACCAAACTTGTACGCCGTATTCTAAAAGTGGTCTATGTATCTGAACACCTAGGTCTGTCTGTTCGACACCACACCACTCACTTTAACTATGCAATTCCCGCCCTGGTTTGTCTTAGCAAAATGCAATACCTCACATTTATCTAAATTCTGCCACTCCTCAGCCTATTGGCCCACCTGCTCAAGATCTCGTACACTTAGATAACCTTCTTCACTGTCCACTATATCATCAATTTTGGTGTCATCCACAAACTTACTAACCATGCCTCCTATATTCTCATCCAAATCATTTATAAGAATGATGAAAAGCAGTGGACCCAGAACCGATCCATGTGGCACACAGCTGATCACAGGGCTCCAGTCCGAAAAGCAACCCTCTACAGCTACTGTCTGTCTCCTGCCTTCAAGCCAATTTTGTATCCAGTTGTCTAGCTCTCCCAGCTACCGTGTGATCTAACCTTGCTAACCAAACTATAGTACGGAATCTTGTTGAATGTTTTGTCGAAGCTGATATAGACAACTTCTACTGCTCTGCCTTCATCTGCCTTCTTTGTCACCTCTTAAGAAACCTCAACCAAGTTAGTGAGATACGATTTCCCATGCACAGGGCACGTTGACTATTCCTTATCATTCCCTGCCTTTCCAAATGCATGTAGATCGTCTCACTTAGAATCCTCTCCCAACAACTTACTCACCACTGACATAAGGCTCACGGGTCTATAGTCCCCTGGCTTTTCCTTTCAGCCTTTCTTAAATAATGGCATCACATTAGCCAACCTCCAGTCTTCCAGCACCTCACCGTGGCTGTCAGTGATACAAATATCTCAGTAAGGGCACTGTAATCTCTTCCCTAGCTTCCCATGAAGTTCCAGGAAAAACCTGATCACGTCTCAGGGATCTATCTGCCTTTACGCATTTTAAGACCTCCGGCTCTTCCTCTTCTGTAATACGAAGTCTTTTTCAAGACATCACTATTTATTTTCCCAAGCTCCCTGGCTTCGATGTCTTTCTCCACAGTAGATACTGACGCAAAATATTCATTTAGTATTTCATTCATCTCCTGTGGAGCCGCTCAAAGACAGCCATAATGATCTCTAAGGAGCCCTATTCTCTCCCAGGTACTCTTTTTTGCCCTTAATGTACTTATACAGTCTCTTTGGATTCTCTTTAACTCTATTTGCCAAAGCTATCTCATGTCCCCATTTTGCCCTCCTGATTTCACACTTAAGTATATTCCTGTAGGATTCACTTGATCCCAACTGTCTATACTTGACATCTGCTTCCTTCTTTTTCTTGACCAGAGGGTGAATTTTTCTAGTCATCCAGCAATCCTTGCCCTACACACTAAGAGGAACGTGCTGACTGTGAACTCCCATTATCTCATTTGTTAAAGGCCTCCCACTTCCCAATTGTCCCTTTACCAGCAAATCACCTTCCTGAATCAACTTTTGAAAGTTTCTGTCTAATACTGTCAAAATTGGCCCTATTACAATATTGCACTTTAACCTATAGGTCAGTTCTATCCTTTTCCATAACTATTTTAAACCTAATAGAGTGATGATCACTTGCTCCTGAATACTCCCCCAGTGACACCTCAGTCACTTTCCCTGCTTTATTTCCCAACTGAAGGGCAAGTATTGGTCCTTCCATAATAGGTATATCCACATATTGAATAAGAATGTTAATTCCTAATTACTCACCATCCAAGCTCTTAAAACTATGGTAGTCCCAGTCTATGTTTGGAAAGTTAAAATCCTGTTCCATTATAACCCTATTATTCTTATAGATTATCTGGGATCTCTTTACATATTTGCTTCACAATTTCTGCTGACTGCTGGGAGGCCCATAATACAATTGCAACAAGTTGGTCATTCCTTTCTTATTTCTTAGTTCCACCCATATATTTCACTGGATGGCCTCCCAGGAATATCCTTCCTAAATATAGCCATAATGTTATTCCTAACCAAAAACACCACTCGCTCACCTCTCTTGCCGCTCTTTTTATCGTTGCTATAGCATCTATACCCTGGAACATTAAACTGCCAGTCCTGTCCATCCCTGAGTTACATTTCTGTAATAGGTATGATATCCCAGTCCCATGTTCTCAACCATACCTTAAGTTTCTTTACCTTACCTGCCATTAAATGTTGTGTGGTAACCTTTAATATAGTGGCTTAGCAGATGCCTTCTGACCATCTCAATAAATTACATCTACTGGTTCCCTTGTATCAACACTTACCAAGCAGTTCCAGTCTGGAAACAAGCCATCTTTTTTGTTCACTGGGGAGACAGGTGAGGGGGGAGATGGCAAGTTTAGACCCTTAAAATGCTGTTAATTGATTACTTAAGGGTATTAGTTGCTGGTGAGTCATGCAAGTTCTTATCCAGCAATTCATTATCGAATGACAAGAAGGAGTGAGTTTCTGTCCAGGGGCACCTCATCCATTTATTTCCTGTTCCCTCCTGCAATCTCCTAGGAGGGAACAATTGTGTATTTTCTTTCTATTTTACATAGTCTGTTTTCTTCCAATTTTATACATGGCATGATGTTAAATTGAATCATCTAATTGAAACTTCTAGTTTAGGCTGTATGGCTCAGTAGATACTTTTCAGTTTGTTTGTTTGAGACAACACTTTGTTGATTGGCCTGTTCACTCAAGAACCAGATCCCATTTAGAGATTTGTACTGTTTCAGTTCCTTATTTATGCAGGGAAAAAGCTCTGTATAAAAGTAAGAATTCTGTTCATTCACTACTGACCCCAAAATCCAGGAAGTTGCAATATGTTTGTGTTAATTAAATGTTAATTTTATGTTTATTACATGCCCTGTTAAGGAACTTTTGCAGATAAAGAGTACTAGCATGCAACTTAAATCTAGTCTTGGAGCTTTGAAAAATGAACATGAACACAACATTCAGGAGGAAAGCCGACGATACCAACAGGAAGTGAAGGATCTTAAGAATATTTTGGAAAAACGGGTATGCTAATTTAGTCTTGTGGATTGCCATCATAATGATTAAACTTTGAATGCTTGTCATAAGTTATTAAGCCACTGTATCATGTTTCAGACATTTTGTCCACTTGTTATGTTTCAAGTCATAGTATATTTATATAAGATTTTTATACAGAAGTACTGACACTGTGGTTGTTAATTTAGATTTACCTGTTATTTTTCCTTGGATTATAAACTGGAAAAGTTATTGTTTTGTTGCAGTGATTGATAGAAACATGAGTCGTTTTTTGCTGACGATGGGGCAGCATGGTGTATTTATAATGCTATTGTACTAGTGATCCAGAGGTTCAGGCTAATGCTCTGTGAACAAATCCCACCAAGACAGCTGGAGCTATTTAAATTCATTTAATAAATCTGGAATAAAGATCTAATCCCAGTCATGGAGACTGTGATAACTTTGTTAATTATTGTTAAAAAAAATCTGGGTCACTGCTGTCCTTCAGGGAAGGAATTCTGCTTCTTTTCTTGGTCTTATCTGCACAATGAGGATGACTTTTATTTTCCTTCTGAATTTGCCAAGCAATTAGACAAAGATTGCAAACTAATCCCATTGTATAGAATTGGATTAAAAGTGATTTAGTAAATGGAGACGTTGCAGTTGGAATAGTGCAGTAAACCTCAATAAATGAAGTTGATTTTATTTTGGGGAACAACTTGGCTGCTTCAAATTGGCTTCATCAAGGTTGTTGAAACAGCCATTAGAAGGAGAAGAAACCGACATTGTCTGAGTGAAACATCCCAAATTGTTGCCTGATTCTGTTGTAACAGGAAGAAAAGAAACTTAGTAAAAAAGATGGTATAGAAAATCAGTTACTCAACACTATTTTTGAAATTACTATTTTTGAAATTTTAAGTAAAAAGAATTAACGTAAGAGTGAATTAAGGTGAATGAATGCTGAGACAGACGAATTTTTATCAATAAGGGAATCAAAGGTTATAGAGAAAAGGCAGGAAAGTGGAGTTCAGTATGAGAAGATCATCCATGACCTCATTGAGTGGTGGAGCAGACTTGATGGTCTGAATAGCCGACTCTGCCCTTACGTCGGATTGTCTTATGAACTTACGTAAAGAAAATGAGGCTGATGTTTAGCCTATCTTCCTTAATAGAAATGCTATAGATGGATCCTGAATTGAGAGAACTGTATCAAATTCTACTCAAAAATTTAATCAGCACCATTACCTGAATGTTATTATTTAAAAGACAAAATGCTAATGAGGAAATGGAGATGACCTCAAATACCAGTGGATAGGAGATGGAAGTTATACATCAAGTGATAGTTCCATCTGATTATTGTAACAAAATGAGAAGCTGACAAAATTCCAATAGCAGGTGTCAAGTAAATGCTAAAATACTAAAACATTTTTATCAGACATGACTCATGAAGCTGTAGAGAAATTTTGCTAAGTAGTTTGAGAATGCCAACTATCAATTAAACCTCCACCTTTAATTCTGACACCACCTTTCAATCAGTGAGTGTGTCAGAATAGTCAGAACAGAAGTATTTTTACAGTCATGGAAGAAATAGGCAATAAAATTAGAATATTGAACAACTTGAACAATTAGAACAACTTGAACAATTAGAACAACTTGAGAATGAATCAGAAATTAAACTGTTAAAGTTCAACCTTCCAGGAGTCAAATTGGGAAAAACAGTCTCAACAGAATATTGTGCTATCTCCTGGTAAATGTTCCAGCCAACATTATTTGGCAAAATTTTGTAATTACAAAAGCTATTACAGCTTCATCAATTAATTTGTGTCAGTAGGCCAGGAAAGATGTTTTGGCTACACATGATGTCAACATAAGATATGTGTTACCCATCAAATAATACCCTTACAGACTTAGCAGGCTTTTAATAAATTGTGTAGGACTTCAACCTCAGTTTTTTTGAGGATATGACTAGTAGAAAGTGGACAAGGTTGAATCAGTCGATGTGCGCCCAGGCTTTCAAAAGGCTTTTAACAAGGCTCCACTCAAGAGATTAGTAAGGAAAATTAAAGCTCATGGTATCGGAAGTAATGTATTGACATGGATAGAGAACTGGTTGGCGGACAGGAAGCAGAGATTTGGAATGAACGGGTCCTTTTCAGAGTGGCAGGCAGTGACGAGTGGTGTAGTGCAGGGTTCAGTGCTGGGACCCCAGCTGTTCACAATAATATACATTAACAATTTGGACAGAGAAGTTGAATGCAATCTCTCCAAATTTGAAGATGACACTAAGCTGGGTGGCAGTGTGTGCTGTGAGGAGGATGCTGAGAGGGTGCAGGGTGAATTGGGCAGGCTGGCTGAGTAGGCAAATACTTGGCAAATGCAATATAATGTGGTTAAATGTGAGGTCACCCACTTTGGTGACAAAAACAAGAAGGCAGATTATTATCTGAATGGTGGCAGTTCAGGAAAAGGTGAGGTGCAATGAGACCTGGATGCCATGGTGGAGTGGTCGCTGAAGGCTGGCGTGCAGGTGCAGCTGGCGGTGAGGAAAGTTAATGGCATGCTGGCCTTTGGAATGAGAGGGTTTGAGTACAGGAGTAGAAATGTCTTGCTGAAGTTATACAGGCCTTGGGTAATGAGAGCAATTTATGTTTCCTGGTCTGAGAAAGAACATTCTTGCTATTGAGGGAGTCCAGCAAAGGTTCACCAGACTGATTCCTGGGCTGGCAGGACTGACATATGAAGAAAGACTGGATCGACTGGGCTTGTACTTGCTCGAATTTAGAAGAATGAGGGTGGATCTCATAGAAACATATAAAATTCTGCTAGGACTGGACAGGCTAGATGCGGGAAGAATGTTCCTGATGTTGGGGAGGTCCAGAAGTGAGTGTTCACAGTCTAAGAATAGGGGGTAAGCCATTCAGGACTGAGATAAGGAAGAATTTCTTCACTCAGACAGTTGTGAACCTGTGGAATTCTCTACCACAGGAAGCTTTTGGGGCCAGTTCATTAGATATATTCAAGAGGGAGCTGGACGAGGCCCTTGTGGCTAAAGGGATAAAGGAGAATGGGAGAAGGTAGGAATGGGATACTGAAATTGCATGATTCTCCCTGACCATATTGAATGGTGGTACAGGCTTGAAGGGCTGAATGGCCCATCCTGCACCTATTTTCTATGTTTCTGTGTTTAAAGCCAGGCATGGAATTAGTAGCTTTTAACAATTATAGACGGTTCAATAAAATTTCCTCAAAGTAGCATTTTCGGATGCTATTATTGCAAAAACTGAGTAGAAACATTAGTCCTTTTGTTTAAAAGATATGGGTTGCCCAAATAAATAGAATCAGGTGAATGTTGAAGTTTTATGTTACAAATATTCAAACAAGTGATAAATAATTTGGGAATAAAGCAACTTTACAGCTTTAAATTTATCATCTACGATGTTACGGAGCATTGTAAAGATGGCATCAAACTTTAAAGACTATGATTACAGTTTATTGTCAGGAATGCCCTAGTTTTTGGGATAAAGGAATCCCCCTGTTAGTGTTTGCCATTAAGGATGCCTGCATGTGTCCACAAGATTCATTCCTTTTGAATTGAAATGCAGACATGAGGTGAGAGGATCCCTTAAATTAATAAACTAAAAATGTATTTGCCAATGTTCGCTTTTGACCAATATGTAAAATTTCCAAAATAAAGTAACCAAAGTGTATGAGTTGGCCAAAAAGAGTGTTTAACAAACAATGAAAAGTAGAGCAAATAAAAAGATCGAAGCTCTAAATTCTGTTGCTGCAGACAAAGTGCCGATACTGTTATGTATCCCTGGAGAACCATTACATGTTCACTGGAACTCATCAGATCAAACAGAAAATTAATGATGAAGAGTATACAATGTCCACTCCGGACAGGAGAAAAAAAAATCAGTGTGTGTGTCAGAATAGTCAGAACAGAAGTATTTTTACAGTCATGGAAGAAATAGGCAATAAAATTAGAATATTGAACAACTTGAACAATTAGAACAACTTGAACAATTAGAACGACTTGAGAATGAATCAGAAATTAAACTGTTAAAGTTCAACCTTCCAGGAGTCAAATTGGGAAAAACAGTCTCAACAGAATATTGTGCTATCTCCTGGTAAATGTTCCAGCCAACATTATTTGGCAAAATTTTGTAATTACAAAAGCTATTACAGCTTCATCAATTAATTTGTGTCAGTAGGCCAGGAAAGATGTTTGGCTACACATGATGTTAACATAAGATATGTGTTACCCATCAAATAATACCTTTACAGAGTCAACTCAGAGGAATTATGGCTCAAGCACAAGATAAGATAGACAATATTTGTGATTATTGAACCGAGTTGTAGTAGCTGGGGAGCTCACCTGTTATGATAGTGCCAAAACCAGATTGCTGACAAATATTATGTATTGATTATCATAAATTCAATGCAGTAACACATGTGGATTCATGTCTGATTCCATGATTGGAGGGTTTTGTTGAGAGGATTGGACATGCATGATTTAGTATTAAAAAATTGTTTAAACATTGCTGAAAGGAGGCTAAAAATTTGAAGCTTTTTGCTTTGCACTTATCAGAACTAAGATGTAAGAAAGAGACTCTTTTTCTAAAAAAAGGCACCATTTTATACAGAATTTGAAAAGGGTGATGATTGGTTAGTCATGGAGTCAGAACAAGAAAAGTTAACAGCCAGCCTTAACACCCAGACCAGACAGGTAGGTTCTGATTGGTGAGGGGGTTGCTGTAAGTATGCAACAGAGATTTGCTGTCTCTATACAAAGTATGTACAAATTCCTTTAGCTGCATAAAACAGGGTCTTCAGTATTTAGGTGTGTAGTTCCTACCAGGACAAATGCAACACGTTGTGAGCTCGGCCAATAATCTTAAATTTGTTTTCAGTATAACTTCCAATAGCAGAATCACATCGAAAGGTGGACATGCATTTCAGAGTCTTGTAAACATGGGCTAGTTAAACATGAGCATTGTGCTGTGAGCTGCGAATGGTCAATGGGACAT